AACACTACAGACCAGGGTGGGGGGCAGTGGTAAAGTGGAAAGTTAGATTGCTTATTTTGCTATAAACATTTTAGAACATACAGGCTATTTTCCTTTTTTCCTAATTATCTTTGGAAATAGACCAAGTAGTGGTATTGCTGGGTCAAAAGGTATAGGTAGTTTAATTGGACATAAATCCAGATTGCTCTCCAAAATGGTTGGATCAGTTCAGATATTCCACCAACAGTGAATTAGTGTCCCAATTTTTCTATATCCCCTCCAACATTTGTCACTTCCCCTTTCTGTCATTTTAGCCAATCTGTTAGGTGTAAAATAGTATCTCAAGGTTTTTTAAATTTGCATTTCTCTAATCAATGATAATTTAAGGCATTTTTTCATATGATTATAAATTATTTTGATTTCTTTATTGGAAAACTGCCTGTTTGTATCCTTTGACCATTTATCAATTGGGGAATGATTCGTATTTTTATAGATTTGACAAAGTTCTTTATATATTTTAGATATAAGACTTTTATCTGATTAAAAAAAAATAGAAATTTTTCCCAATTTTCTACTTTCCTTCTGATCTTGGCTACATTTGTTTTATTTGTACAAAACCCTTTTAATTTAATGTAATCAAAATTATCTGTTTTACACCTAACTTCGCTAATTCTTGTTTATTCGTAAATTGTTCACCTATCCATAAGTCTGATGAGTAATGTGTTCTGTGTTCTTCTAATTTTCTTGTAAAGTCTCTCCATATCTAGATCCTACTTCTACATGTTCTAGCCTGGTGACTCTAAGGGCCTTTAGCCCCCCTGAGCCACCGGGCTTTTCCTCCTGTCTCTGACATGGGAGAAATGTTAGTCCAGCTTTCTCAGTCAGTTAGTGCCAGAGACAAGACCAGAACTCAAGGCTCCCTCTGCAAAAGGAGAAAAATCTGAGCTAGTGTAATCTATTTCAATTTTATAGATAATGAAGCTGTGAAGTGACTTGCCCAAGGTCACACAGCTAATCAGTGCCAAAGCCAAGATCTTAGAACCAAGTTCTCCTGACTCATGGTTTAGGGCACTTCGGCCCCACTCTAAAGATACCAAAGATCAAGTTTCTAGTTTCTCCCTGGTGAATTAATCAGCACCCAAAGAGAGTCCACACCTTTGAAATGCATCTTCAATATTTTTGTATTTGCCAGTGATAACTCCAGCCTACCTTTTAACTTCTAGTCTGCATATACTGAGTAATCAAGCACTTTTCCTCCCCAAGGCTCCATGAGGTAGGCTTGTAGAGTCCAGAAATGTGTTTAAATATAATAGCAGTTCAGCTGTGAAGCAACCTTTTGCCTAGGCAAGTAGATACCTCCTTGGAGAGAGTGCTGGACTTAGAATCAGGAAGAACTGAGTTCAAATCCTACTCAATCAATTTCTAGCTGATTGGGCAAATCACTTAATTTCTCTCAATATACTTATCATCTATAAAGTGGAGATCAAGTGAACAACACTTTGCAATAAAGCTGTCATCACATTCATATACCCATGTCTGTGACCCACATCCCAAGAATATTGCATTAGGGATTCCTGCCCTGACGAGCCTGGAGGGAGGCAGGCAGCACTAGCTTGGAAATCAGGAGCCCTGGGTTCTCGTCTCAGCTCTGCCAGTGTCACTTGACTTTGGGAATTTTGCTTCAGCTTCCCAGGCCTCAGTTTCCTCTTCAGTAAAATGGAGGAGTTGGATTTCGAAGGTTCCTTCAAGCTCTAATATTCCGTGATTCTCATGTTCAGTTCCCTGGGAGGGGGCATGAATACCTGCCATGGCTGGGAGGGTGAGAGGAGAGGATCATTTGAAAATCATTTACATGATTAGAAATGACATGCATCACTGAGAGACCCCTCACTATACTGTTACCAGTTCTAATTCCAGACGTGCTGTTGGCGGGTTCCGTGTAGATTGCCACGGGCCACGGCAGTAACTGAAAGCATGCATCTCTCAGCATCTGCTCCAAATATTTGCAGCAGCTTACTGCTGGAAACGAGCAGGAGGGCTCCCTGCCTGGCCACGCCCCCTTTCTCCTGCTTACCCAGCCAAATCTGGCATGATTTTGTCTCTTCTGGCTGCTTTTTCTGCTCAGACCTCTACTCCCTACAGAGCAGCCTTGACCTCAGCCACTACCCAGGCAATGATCTCATTTCTGCACTTCTCTAAAGCTCTTAGAACCAAATGCAGGCCAGTGGGGAAATTCTGGGGCTGACCTTGCAAGGTCATTTCATCCTTTCCCCCAACTTTAGACAAGGCTCAACATGAGCTATTTCAGATAGCTAATAACCTCTCTTATTTGCAAGAACTTTCAAAAGGGAGATTCCACGGGTTAGGTTTTTTTTAAAATTATAGGTCTTTACATGTTATGATTATGAGATATTTACATAGTATTAAAGGCTTTCTATCTTGCGGTTATACAATGTATTTATACAGGAATAGGGATCAGACTTGTGATTTCATTGATCCAGGAACCTCTGGGAAAAGGAAACTCCCTCTACCAATACAGATCTGTACTTTCTCTGTACCTTAAAGTCTTAAAGAGTTCTCTAAGACACAGAGAGGTAGGTTGTGATTTGCACAAGCTCACACTGACAGCAAGTGTCAGAGAAAGGACTTGAACCCAGGCCTTCCTGACTCTGAGGCTATCTGCTATCCCATCCTGCCCCTCTTCACTTTGTATATCATAAGATTTATGATTTTTGTCCCACACCAACAAACCAAAGCAAAAACTTGCACAAATTTTAAGTGACCCACTTCATAGTTTTTTAAAAATACAGGGCCCTACATCTGCGTCCTTCTCCCTTCTATTACTTCTCAGCCCTGTTTCCAATAGGCCACTTCTCCTGACTCTTTGGGGCACATATATACTTTCCATTCCTCTGCTAGACTCATCATTATTGAATGAGGTAACCTAAGTTCCAGGCATGTGTTGCTGCTACAGCTCGCTATAGACAATCTTTAATGTTCAGCATGAGCATTTACATCTCAGAAATTAGCAATCCTATAGATCAAGACAATTTATTGTTCTCTTGATAGTCTAGACTTAAGAAAGTCTTAATAATGAAGATTAAACTTAAAAGTATGGGTGCACACATCTCCCCTTCCCCCCTCACCAGCCTGGTTGTTAAATATTTACCAGCACATCCTTGTGTTTTTCTATAAACATTAATTACCATCATTACTTACCATCAGAAGCTTATCACCAGAAGGCTGGGTTTCAGAACATGAATTGTTTTTTTGGCCAAAATGGATCATGAAAAATGTCTCCTAAGTCATGAGGAAGCTGTGATTTATGCTAGTGAAGGGACCACTCTCACAGATGAAATCACAGGGCTTTTGAGGTATTAGAAGATATTTCCCATTATCTCACCTAAGGTTGTATGTGCTAGAAAACTCCTTGGCATCTCTGACAAATAGAGAATTGTAAAACATCAGAGCTGGAAAGAGTTTAGCGGTCATCTAGACATAGGACCATGGCTCTAGAATGGGAAGAGGCTTCAGAGGTCATCAAGACATGGAGAGATGGCTCTAGAAATGGAAGGGACTTTGAAGATCATCTAGACCAGGGATTCTGATACTTTTTTGCATCATAATTCTGGAGGGAGGGAGGGAGAGAGGGAGGCAGCACTAGCTTGGAAATCAGGAGCCCTGGGTTCTAGTCTCAGCTCTGCCAGTATCACCTGACTTTGGGAAATTTGCTTCAGCTTCCTAGGCCTCAGTTTCCTCTTCAGCAAAATGGAGGAGTTGGATTTCGAAGGTTCCTTCAAGCTCTAATATTCCACGATTCTCATGTTCAGTTCCCTGGGAGGGGGCATGAATACCTGCCATGGCTGGGTGACAGGAGAGGAACATTTGGAAATCATTTACATGATTAGAAATGAAATGCATCACTGAGAGCCCCCTCACTGGACTGTTGCCAGTTCTAATTCCTCTCTCGTTCTGGTAAACCAATGGCATACGCTCAGAATCGGATTTTTAGATGTATAAAATAAAAGACACAGGATTACAATGGAAATCAACTATAATGAAAATACATATTTTTTCCTATCCAAATTCCCATACTCTCTGAAGTCTATTCACAGATCTATTCAGGTCCATGGACCCCAGAGTAACAACCTCTGTTCTAGACAGAAGATCATTGATTGAGAAATAGAAGGAACTTCAGGGGCCTTCTAACATGGGCTCATAACTCTAGAGTTGGAACTATCCAGTCCAACATCTTCATTTTACAGAGGACAGAACTAAGGACCAGAGAGGTAAAGTGATTTGTCCAGGGTCACAAATTAGCCAGTGGCAGAATAAGGGCTGAAACCCAGATCTCCTGACTGCTAGACCCATGCACCTTCCACTGCACCGCACTGCCTATCCTGTCTACCCTTACTCTTTTCTTCTTGGTGGTGGTGTCTTGCTTTTCAGTAGCCCCACATCCTTATACCTCTTCCTTTGGTTGCACCTACTCACATGAGGCCTGCAAGGACCTCTTATCCCCCAGGCTATGAAATATCCCTATACAATCTCCCTCATTCAGATACTCATAATACCTTCCTACAGATTAAAAGCAGCCATTCCCATGGACTTTTATTATAATTTCTAAACTCCATTGGACCCCACGTTTATATCTGGACCTCTGCCTGGTTGGTGACACTCACAACTCATTTCACAATCATCTGCTGGGGGGAAGGAGGTATTTTTTTCTTTATAGCCAGTAAACAAAGGTAATATACCGATTAGGACCAGAAGGACCATTAGCTTCAGAGATGGGAGGTATCTTAAAGATTATCTAGTCTAGTTTCCCAATTTTACAAATGGAGAAAGTGAAATTTAGAGGCTACGCAGAGAGTTGGTGGCAGACCTTGGTCTGGACTCAGATCCCCAGATTTTAAATCTAGGGTTCATTCCACTATAATCCTGGAAGGTCTTGGATAATTTTGGATAATTTTCCCTGTGGTTTCCATCTCTTCCCTTTCTTCTCCATCCTGTTTCTCCAGGTATTTTTTTAACTGTGACTACAAGATCCCCCTAAAGAAAAAGAAAAAGTACTTCAAGGTGTTTGAGGTCACGAAGGTGACTGAGAGCTTTGCCAGCAAGGTCCAGAGTCTGGTGCCGGTCAAGTATGAGATCATAATCACGACGGGTTATGAACCTGGAGCAGGCACAGATGCCAATGTCGCGATCACTGTCTTTGGGGCCAACGGTGACACCGGGAAGCGGGAGCTTAGGCGGCGTATGCGCAACCTCTTTGAGAGGGGCCACACTGACCGCTTCTTCCTGGAGACTCTGGACCTGGGGGAGCTGCGCAAGGTGAGGCTGGAGCATGACGGCAAAGGTCCCAGCTCTGGCTGGCTGGTGGAGAGGGTGGAGGTCACTAACACCAGCAATGGAGTTGCCACGATCTTTGCCTGTGGGAAGTGGCTGGACCCAAAGAAGGGAGATGGGCTGACATGGAGAGATCTCTTCCCTACAGTCTGAGGGGGGGAGCAAGGATGCCCAAGAGTCTCTTCATCTCTACTCTTCTATCTGCATTGGGAGGCATCCAGAATTCACCAGGTCATTCCGAAACCACTCTTCTATGTATTGATTGTGCCATTTGGCATGATGTGTTCCAATCCCAAAACTCCCTGGACATGAGGAAGATACAACAAACCTTGAGTTTTCTTCTGGGATTCACTTCTGACTTGGGATGCAACAGAACAAGTTATTTGCCTATTTAACAAGACCAATTGTTTCTGTCAGTTAACAAGCATTTATTTAGCACTTATTCTGCCTCCAGGTACTGTACTAAAATGCTGTGGATACAAAAAAGGGTAAAAAAAAACATGGTGCCCTTCCTCATGGAGCTCACATTTTAATAAGGGAGGCATGTACCTAACAAGGACCACACAAGCTATATCAGAGTAGATAGAAGGCAAGCTGGGCTTTGGGCTTTAGGGGGAAAAGGCATTGGGTCAAGTGTTCAGTGATTTCCATTCTTCAATGTTGCGTTTTATACTGAGGAGTTTTTAGCTATAGGGTGGATGAAGGAGGCAGAGAAGAAGACATGTTCTCCAGTTTTATCTTTGCTGCTTGGCCTTAAGAGCAGCAATCCCTGGTAAGGTTGTATAGCAGAAAGAACACTTCACTAGGAGACAGAGGAAATCTGAATTTAAATCTACTGACTGGCTTCGTAACCTTGAACAAGTTTCAGGGTCTCATTTTCTCATAGGTAAAGAATAAGAGCCAGGCAAGAGAATCCATCTCTAAGGTCCCTTGTAGATCTAAGAGCCTTGTCCTAGGCCCTCTTCTCTTCTCTTTTAATCATCTTGCCTGGGTTTAATTATCATTTCTTTGTAGATGGTTCCCAGATCTATCTATCCATCCTATTCCTATGACCCTCTGTTAGGTAGTGGTGTGGTAAGGAAGCCTGCATCTGCCCATCTTCTGACCTCCGATGCTCCAAGCTCCCAGCTTCCTGGCTTACTCTCCTCCTCTAAGATGGTTGTCATGTGGTGAGGGGCCAAGCAAGGAAACGCCTAGAGTGATGATTGGGGCTTTACCCAAAGAAGGCGAGGGGAGACAAAAGAAAGCTGAGGTGGTCAATTTTTAAGCCATAATTAATTAACACTTTAAAAAAGAAAGCTGAAACCAATACAGTAAATGCTGACCAACCCCCACAGTGAGCAGCTCTCTTGGCAAGTATTGCGGGTGCTAAGAAGCTGTCTTTTTCCTGTTCCAATAAATCCAGTGTCAAGCAGAAGAAAATGGTTGTGGAGAGTGTTTTTTGTTCAGTGATTTACAATCCTATGGAAAAGAGATGATGTTGTTCGTTCACCACTTCATTCAGCAAGCATTTAAAGCACTCTCCCTCTGTGTCCAGCCCTCTGAAGCAGAAGTGGGGCACAGAGTGGGGGTAACGGTGGGGGTGGGATGCAAAGCCTAGACCCTGCCTGACTCACTGGTCTCCTGATGATCACCCTTGGCTGGTCACAGAATGGAATGTTAAGGGCAAGGAGCCATCTGACAAGCATCCCCGAGGCCCCACTGTGCCCATGGATTGTTTCCAAAAAAGAAGTTGAAGGCTCAGCCTCTGCCTTCTAGGAGTTTATGACTTAAGCAGGGAAGAAAGGGCCCACAGGCAGGAACTGATTTCCAGAACTGTCACAAAGCAAGCAGTGGAAGGGAGTGGAAAGAGCATCAGATTTGGGGCCTGAGAAGTTAAGTCCAAATGTCAGCTCTGCCACTTGAGACTTGGGTGACTTACACAAGCTCTGGGCCTCAGTTTCTTAATCTGTAAAATAAAGAGGTTGGACTAAATTAGCTCTCAAGCCTTTGATCCTAGATCAACATGGATAGTACAGTGGCTCTGAAGTCAAAGGACCTGGGTTCAAATCTCATCTCTTACTACCATTTACTGCCTATGTGACCCTGGGGCAAATCTGTTCAACTCTGAGCCTGTTTCCTCATCAGTAAAACAATGGAGGTAGACTAAGTTAGTAGTGTCAAACTCAAATAGAAACAGCCACTACATTGTAGTTAAAGATCCCTGTGGGCCACCTATTGACTTAGCTTTTAAATGTTATATTATCTATGTCTTTTTTTGTTGTTGTTAAATATTTCCTAATAATATTTTTAATCTTGTTCAGGTTACCTTTGGGAGTGCCGGGGACCAGCTATAAGTCAATGGTTCTAAGTTCTACCAACTACACAGTTATCCTTTCCACATCATAACTTTCTCCATCAAGGTTTCGATATATTGTGGGTTGGCATAAGAAATAAAATGGGAATTTTGGGGGAGTTTTGCAGAAGCCACAGATGACATGCAAAGGCTAGCAGATGACATAGAAAAAGTTTAGAAACTCAGAAATGCATAAAATATATTTATAATATTGTATAATATTAAGAAAAAAGAGAAGGAGATCTGCGAAGCCAGAAGACTTCTTCTCTGGTGTTAAGGAAGGGCCAAAAAATGTATGCAGATTTTCCAGGTCATGGGAGTGTTGCACTCCTAAACCCCTCGATGGGGAAGGGGTAGCTGTAGTACAATGTACAAAGGGCTGAGGCTATTAAGGAAGAGGCTGTTAAGGGGGAGAGGCTATTAAGGAAGGATTTCTGAAGGAGTCCAGTTTAAAAGAGCAGGGGCTTACAGGAGATGATAGACAGATGGACTGGATAAAGAGTTATAGAATAAGAGAATGTCCAGGGCCCTAGAAAAGTAGCAAGAGTGATGGTTTTTGAAGTCACCAAGCACCTGAGTTTGAATGTGGACTCTAACACGTACTAGCTGTGTGACTTGATACAAGTCACTTAGCCTCGCAGAGACTCAATTTCTTTATCTGTAAAATAAGAATATTAATATTTGTATTTTTTAACCTCTCAGGGCTATTCTAAGGAAAGCACTTGAAAAATCTCAAAATACTATATAAATATGAGTTATTGATATCTTCCCAACAGTGATCAAGAATTGTAGATCAGAACTACAAAGTGACCTGGGACACATCGGTCAACATGCATTTGTTTGGGGGTTTTTTTTGTTCATTTTCAGTCTTGTCCAACTCTTCAACTCATTTAGGGTTTTCTTGGCAAAGATACTGTGGTTTACCATTTCTTTCTCCTGCTTATTTTACAGATGAGGAAAGTAAGGCAAACAGACTTGAACTCAAGAAAACTCTTCTTTGTGACTCCAGGCCTGTACTCTATCTTCTGTACCACCTAACTGCCCCATGCATTTATTAAGTGCCTACTATATACCATGCATTAACAGTGATAGAAAGACAAAGGATGAAATAATCCCTACTCCTAAAGAACCTATATTCTACCTGAGGAGAAAACAGGTGGTAGTGTTTAGTCATTTTTCAGTCATGTCCAGCTCTTCATTGACCCTATTTGGGGATTTAGGTTTTCTTGGCACAGATACTGGACTGGTTTGCCATTTCCTTCTCCAGCTCATTTTACAGATGAGGAAACAGAGGCAAACAGGATTAAGCGACATTGCCTAGAGTTACACAGCTAGTAAGTGTCTGAGGTGGGATTTGAACTCAAGTCTTCCTGACTCCAGGTCTGGCACTCTACCCATTGCACCATCTAGCTACCTAAAACAAGTATGTGTGTGTGCATAAAAACATACATACATACATACATATATATATATATATATATATATATATGAGTGTATGTGTATACACAGAGAGACATTATATATTATATATCTGTATGTGTATAAAACACATGTATATGTAACATGTATATTCAGAATAACTACAAGGGCAATACAAGGTCATTAGGCAGGGAGGGCACTGGCATTGGGGAGATGAGGAAAGGCACCATGAAGGTGATACTTTAGCTTAGTCTTAAAGGAAGGAATGGATTCTATGATGTAGAGGAGGAGAAGGAATGCATTCCAGCATGGATAATGGACCACAAAAAGGCACAGTAACGGGAAATAATGTAAGAAGAGAGAGAAGGTCAGTTTGCTCTACACTAAAGTATGGAAAGGGAAGTAATGTACAATGAAGCTGAAAAGATAGATTGGTACCACCTGTAAAGGGCATTAAAAAACAAAACAGAGTTTATATTTTATCCTAGAGGCAATCAGATGCCACTGGAGTTTAATGAGTAAAAGAGTAATATGGTCAGGTATGTGCTTATGGAAAATTACTTTGGCAGTAATGTGGAGGGTTGAGATTTGAGGCAGAGAGAAGATTCTGGAGGCCAGTGTGATAGTCTAGTAAAGAGGAGCAGAAGGCCTGAAGTACAGCGATGGCTGTTTGAGGAGGGAGAAAGGGTCAAAGGTAAGAGATGTTACAGAGATAGAAACAGCAAGATTTAGGAACTGATTGGATATGTGGGGTGAGGGAGAGTGAGAAGTATAGGATAACACTCAGGTTAGATACCTGGGGGACTGGAAGAATGGTAGTACCTTCAAAACAAGTAGAGAAGATTGGAAGAAGGGTGGGTTTTGAAAAAAAAATATGAATTCAGTTTTTGACATGATGAGTTTGAGGAAACATCCATTAGGTAATTGGCAATGTGGGACTAAAGCTTAGGGTAGAAACTGGGGATGGATATCTATAAATTTGGGAGTCATCTGCAAAGAAATGATAACTAAACCTTGGCAAACTGATGAGATTAGCAGGAGATAGTGTATAAAGAGAAAAGGAGGAAGGCCTGGGAGCAGGCCTTGGGTAACGCCTACAGTTAAAGGAATATGATATGGATGATGAGCTAACAAGGGAGACTAAGCAGGAGAGATGGATGAGGAGGAGATCCACAGTAGAGAAGCATCACTAGAAGTCCAGAGAAGAGAGAATATTCATGAAGAAATGTGTGTCAACAGTGTTAAATGATGTAGAGAGGGAGAAAAGGATGAAGAAAAGACCATCAGATCTGTAGATTAAGAGGCTGTTGATAACTTCGGAGATAACAAAGTCAATTAAGTGATGAGGTCAGAGGTCATAGTGCAAAGAGTTGATGAATGAGAGGCAATGATATGGAGC